AAAAAAAAATGATAACTAAGGTGAAAAAATGGGGAAATGAAAAACTTGAAAAATTATAAGGATTGAGGTTCACAATTCTAAAAGTCTTTTTCAGCGTGACATCGCAAAGCGACTTTATTTTATGCATGTTCTCCACCAAGGTTTGCCCAATCGGTCTTCAGGCATAGACATATAGAATGTCTATAGTGAAACGTTTAACAGCATATTTTTCGCTGTAGACGGATCGAGCAAACATGAAGAATATGTATGTAATAAAGTTCTATAAACAGCCATCCCGTAAATTATTTTTTGAATTTTGAACTGAATTCCCGCATAAAATTTCGTTCCGTTTTTCATGGTTGAAGTTATATATTATTAACTAAATTGTTTCAAATATGGTTGCCAGTAGGCGGTAGACTTTTAAAACTTATTCTTATGTTGACACAGATTATATCGAAGGCTGTGATGATGACTGATTCGCTTATAATATTAACGGCAGTGGTGTTGTCATGGTTTAAGATTTTAATTTTGCCGTGACAATCCCGTTTAAGGTCTCACTCGCATGTTTCACATTCGCCGAATGATCTTGTCCATGCTCGAAAGATATTGCATATTTCTGTAGGCTGGTTTATATCCTTATTTTCGTAATTCCGAGATCATTTGCTAAGTTGCCCACTTTTTAAGTAGATTACCTGTTGCAGTGTCCACATTAGAGCGTATCGTCTAGGATGATGCGTTTACCATATAATACCAAATATAACATATACTTTGAGATTTCATGACGTATTGCCCCGCCCCCTTGCACCTTTAGGATAAATCTGGTATCGGACAAGTTGTGTTATCTGACATACTCCGCTGGACGAACATATTTTGATGTTTATGTGGTAACATGAACCGTACCACCTTCTGATACATCGTTCTTAATGAGCACGAGGTGGCGGTAGGGATCTCAATGATGCAAAGTGCATCTGGCACTGCTGGTTTTGAAATACCATGAAGCTCTGGACTGGTTAAGTGGTTCCTCTAGGCAACTAATAGCAAGGATGCAATAGAATGCGGGGTGAAATCTGGCGTTGGAAGAGTTATTGAGGAATCTGACATTAGCTAGATAATGACAGACAAGCGAAAACGAACGTATGCTAAATGATACAGAAATAGTGTTTTTCTTATACCATGGAGCAGGCTGTCGGCTATAACTTGGTTGTAATAGGTGATGATGAAAAGCACTGAAATTGTAAAAGGACTTGATTTCATTTTTATACTCGGAAGGGCAGGGCTGTTGCAAGGAGACGAACACAGTGATGACTCCATAAATGAAGCATAAGTCGGACACTGCAGAATTAGAACGTATGAAATGATTGCATTCCTGTTCTTTGCGAAGTCGCAGAGGGAATTATTTTTTGCGTTTCGTTTTCTGGATGTTAAGAAATGAAATATAATTTTGTCATTCTTCGACGATGTACTCAATCCTCCGCCATTATCAGTACTATCAAGGAGATTAAGGAGAACAGACGTAGGTTGTTCAGCTTTAAGTTGAGAGCAATTTCAGCACTCCATGTCGAGATCTTTTTGTATTAACCAAGAATATACAGAATGCATTAGAGATCCTCATCGTTCTGTCCTGTTTGGCAGACGATCGGTGAGTTTACATCACGTTGGCTGCACAGACGCCTTAAACACTTTCCACTAACAAAATGTTTCTATTTTACGGCACTTCTGCTGTTATGTTAGATTCTGTACTACATTCCCTTATTGATCTTTGGCCTAAAATGATGCTTTTGACTTCGAACTCTTTAAGTTTCAGTGCTATTATAAGATATTTATATAAATTGCTTTATAACAGCGCGTCATTTCTCGTAACCTCTTGCCTTTACAGTCGTTTTCACATTTTAATGGCTCACTATAATTATGCTGCTGGTTTAGACTGATCGAATGCGGCCCGCGAATGAAACTAGAGCTTCTGAAGATTGAAGATGGCATGTGCGACGGAAGCGTACTCTATCACGCGTATATTAAAAAGACGCCGGAGGAAATCGCGGAAATCGAGGAACGCCGAGCGAAGAAGAAGAAATTGAAGGAACAGAGGCGCATAGAACAAGAACTTAACGTAAAGCGTAAACAAGAAATTAAAAAAGTGCACTTCGCTGAAACGGCAGTAAAAGCTGAATGATATTTGGTTTGGGTTCCAGAACATTTTACTACACTTATGCTCCTTTTATATATATGACTGCAACTTCAGTTTTGCTACTGTTAATATTTTTATAGCAAATATACCAAAGAACAAAAGGAAACAGTGAA